CTCTTTTCCAGCTCTCCACTGTTGTTACCTTATGGTCCTGTCCACCCCAACTCCTGACATCTTCCTGGGAGACTTTACGCCCATCCTGTAGACTTCCATGTTTCCTTGACCTGTCTCCATCTTCTTCAGCTGCCCACAACCGATCTCCAGCTCAGCAGCACCTCGTCAGCCTGAGTTTACAACTGTCCAGCTCTAGTCACATCTGTGAACACAGGCCCTCGTTCTGGGACCCTGTCACCTCTCTACATCATCCTGTTCTTTAATGTCGTCTGAACTTACACCTGTTTGACATGAGGTCACAGCTAACTCGTTCTTTTCTCCATTTGTTCAAAGTTGAGCGTTCTTAAACTTCTAAGGACTAGGAGGTTGTTGCTGTGTACAATCAAGTCAGAACAGACTCATGGACGACCTTCCAGCGAGTTTTCAGAGGCAGTAAATTGCACGCGAGTTGACTGCCCCTCATTCTCCTGCGGAGCAGCTGGTGGCTTCAAACCGCTTACGGTTGAGTTGGCGGGGCAATTCCTTCCTTCTTAGCCACCAGACTAAATAATGTTCTGGAAAGATCAGTAAGACACGATCCATAACCTCAAGGAATGTGGACTCTAGTAAAAAAGAAGTCAACTAGGAATTGATGGTATCTTTGACAAAGAAATAAGGTCCGTGACACAAACTAATACATGCTCAATAAACATATGTTAACTGAAGCATTCCCTTACATTGGGAAACAGCTGTAAACAACTCATAGCCTTCAACAGATGAAAGGCAACATTAACACAGAGGAGAGTCACTCATCACAAAAAAATCAAGAATTTGTGAAATATGGTGCAAAAATGCTAGTACGTATTTACAGAATAAGTAGCAATCTAAATTAAACCAATGATCCAAGTTAGGAGATGAAAGCAAATTATCTTAGTGAAAAAGAAACTTTGATATATGTTGTACAAATGTAAACTTTTGTCAATAATTATTTTAACTAATATTCCAAAATAAGGAATAAAGGCAGTATATATAATATCTAAGAGCACTTGCACTTGAGTTCAAGCTGGATGAATCTGAATAAATTATACTGAGTGACAGAAATCAGTCACAGAAAGCCAATTATGACATTTTGTTATTTTTGTTGGGTACTTTAGAGTTGGAACCAACCCATACTGACCCTCTCCCACAAGTGGGTTTCCAGAGGCAATTAATCACACAGGAGGAGATTATCCATCCTTCCCCCGTGGAGCAGCTGGTGGCCTCGAACACCTTCTGGATTGAAGCACAGCTTCTTTTCACTAGGCCACCAGATATAAGCCCGAGATTATAAACTCCTACGGAAAGGTACGCTGTTCGAATCCACCAGCTACTCTGAGGGAGATCATCTCTTCCCTTGGGATTTATCCCATCTGAAAATCCCACGGTGGGGTCAGCAGTGGGTCAGTTCTGACTCCATGGTACACAACAACAACAACAACAAGCAAAGGCTTACACAAAGTATCAATCTTGGAAGTTTAACAGGAATGAGAAGGGATTGAGGAGTGACCGTTAATAAATAGGTACTAGATGGTCATATCGCCCTGGTGTACAAGTTGCTGTCCCGCGGTCGCTTGTGGTTGCTGTGAGGCTGAACACTGTGACACAGATGTGTCAAATGCGTTAATGGTTGGCTACCCAATGCGGACAGAGAGTGGGGTGGAGCTCCCCGATTAAACAAGCGTGGAAGGAGGAGTGGCGTCCACTTCCATAATAGCTTGCCTCCGGAAACCCTATGAACCTGGAGAGAGGATGAAAGGCACCCAAGCGTCAAGGACTCTCCTTCATAGGGTCGCTATGAGTCACCTGCGACTCAACGGCACTTAACAACAACAACAAGATGGTTGGGAGGAGGGAGAGGCAAGTCACAATAAGGAACTGATTAGACATAGTCATTCAGTAATTACATTACTCAATGGAAATTCATTTTAGAACACGAAGCAGCCATGAGTTAGTATACGAAAAATGTAAACCTTCAATCAAATAAAAAATATATGTTGAAGACACAGATGTTGAAAAGCATGTGTTGTGGTTGTGGTTTGGTACATGCTATCGAGTTGGAACTGACTCTTCGCTGACCCTTTGCGGGTGCTCAGAGGCTGTAAGGACCTGGGAGGAGGCTGCCTATCCTTCCATCATAGAACCACTGGTGGAATCGAACCACCTGCCTTTGGGTTGGCAGTGAGTGCAGCCCCTGCAGGCCACCACAGCAGCATGTGAACAAGACATAGTTCATCTGAGCTGAAGGTGGTACTCAGAAAGAACATTCTAGATGAGATATTAGTGAGCTGAGTCTTAAAAACTGAGGACGTTTTCCGGGCAGTCAGTCCTAAAAAGAGACCTGTGAGCAGGGGAAACAGAGGCACAAAATCATGAGGACATATAAGAGAGCTTCAACATTTCCAGGACTAGGGTACAACCAGTTCATAAGCAACAGGAGATGAACATGGAACAATCAGGCCACAGCTGTATAACATGCAGCCCAGGACATGACCTTGGCATCGCACCCACTTTACCACGAGAAACGGGACAACCAGGAGAGTCTTGAGAAGGACAACGACATGCTCAGATTTACTCTGCAAACATTTCAGCAAGGTGGCAGTGTGAGGGTTAAACAGGAAGAAGGTAAAAACACAATTTCCAGAAGCCACACAAAGAAAGACCAGATCAAGGGCAGAGATGTAAATCAAAACCAAAATGAGATATCTTCTCACGCCAGCAACAGATAAATAGATAAATAGATAAAGTCTAACATAACAGGAAACAATAAATGTTGGAGAGGATGTGGAAAGATTGGAACTCTCATACACTGTTGGTGGGATTGTAAAAAGATGCAACCACTCTGGAAAGCAGATTTTAACACTATCAGGAGAATACATATGTCGTTGGGGAATTCTTCTTCATAGAGTCCTGAATAATTTGCTTGAGTAGGTGTGGAGAGAAGATATAGCCCTGACACACCACTCTCCTAATCTTAAACCTTGTAGCAGTCCCTTGCTCTGTTCTCACAGTAGTCTCTTGACCCAGGTATAGCTTTTGCACAAGCACAATTCACTGTTCTTGGATTCCCATTCCTCTCAAGTTAGCCATAACGTGCTGTGATCCACACAGTCAAATGCCTTCACATTGTCAACAAAGCACAAACAGACATTCTTCTGGTAGGCTTTGCTTTCAGCCAGGGTCCATCTGACATCAGTATTGATATCCCTGGTGCCGTTCAATGGGACATCGCTCAACAGGACAATACTCGTGACAATAAGAAATCAAGAACAGGCTATCCATCGCCATGACCTATGTCCCCCCCAAGTGAAGTCTGGCTCTGTTATGCCACATTGCCCTTGATGTGTATCTGCATCACACAGATTTTTTTTTTATTTCCCAAAATAAAAAATTATTCAGCACCTTGAGAGCATGCACCCTCTCCACCCATTCCTAGCTACATTGCTGCCTGTTTAAGTGGGCTTGGGCCTCCACCACTCACACTCCTTTCCTGAGGACCCACGTGCTGAGATACGTGAAGATGTGGGGTCAGGAGAGCCCCCACGGAGGAGTCCAGCCCCCGGCCCATCACTCACTTGACTTCGTTTGTAGAAGCTCCTGTGAAGCAAGGCGTATGCTGAGGCTGTCCTGGTCCTCCTGCACCATGACCATGAGCGTTTTGGTGTTCTCCAAGTCGTCTTTCAGTGACTGGATCTTGTCGTTGACCCCTTGCAAACTAATGTTCAGAGACTGGCTCTGAATCTTTAAAAGGTTGATGCTGGCGCTTGCCAATTCTACCCTTAACATCTGAATGTTAGCGCTGGCATCTTGTAGCTCCCTAGATAGTGTGGAGAGCGGATGGTTGGTGTTTTCTGAAATACTTTTTAGGAAATTCTGGGTCTGAGAATTCAGAGAATTTGCTGTTTTCAGATCGTCCTTGAGCCTCTTAGACTCGGCGGTGGACTCCTCCAATAATTTCCTTAGCATCTGGGTCTGGACACTCGTGGTCATGGAGTTCCTCCGCTTCCTAGTCACCTCCTGGTTGTCAGCGCTGGCACCTTGCGGCTGCCGGTGGAGCATCCGGATCTGGGAACTGTCGTAAGGTACGCTGCTCTTCAATGTCTCGATCTCCTCATCCCAGGAGCCAGAGCTTTCCACGTGGCCTTTCAACAGGTGGGAAGACTCCGGGATCTCAGTCTCTCTACCAGAATGGTTGGGACCTGGAGGTGAGGAAGTAGACCAGTCCATCAGAGAGGCTCCTTACACAGACAAGTGTTCCACCTGCCAATCAGAATAGTCTCAAATTTGTAGTTTTACTGCGAATTCTGCAAACATGTCTATTGTTGTTGTTGTTGTTATGTGCCGCCGAGTCGCTTGCGACTCATAGCGACCCTATGTACAACAGCCCTAAAGTCCGGTCTGTCCTGTGCCAATCGCACTGTCTCTGACACTCTCATCCCAATATCCCAGTCACTGAATCAATCCACCTCAAAGAGGGCCTTCCCCTCCTGTGCTGTCCCTGCACCCTCCCAAGCATGATGTCCCTCTCTAAGGACCGGTCTCTCCTCACAACATGTCCAAAGTATGTTAGACGGAGCCTCAGAATCCTTGCCTCCAAGGAGCCACCCGGTTTAACCCTTTCCAGGACAAATCTGTTTGTTTTCCTAGCAGTCCATGGTATTCTCAATACTCTTCTCCAGCACCACAGCTCAAAGGCATCAATTCTCCTTCTATCCTCTATAGGTACACTTTAAATTCTTTTCAAACCAAATTCAACACAGCAAAACTTAGGGAAAGGGTGAAAATACGTATAAGCACTTGGGGCTTAAGGTACATCAACTAGTTTTATTCTCTTTCATGCCTGTATAAAATGATTTCTTTCCAGAAACCCTGTCAGCCTCCATAATTATGATAAAAGTACTAGGGGTAATACCAAAAGTAGACACCAGTGAGTATCTGACAAAAAGGTTTCTGAAAAGTAAACACTCACATAAAATCTAATGTTTTTGTGGAATAGGGCTGTTAGGTTGTTTTTGGTGTGTGTGGGGGGGGTTTGCGTGGGTTTTTTTTTCAGGTGCATCTTAATCTTTTTTTAAATTTTTAATTTTTTTTTTATTTTTGAAAAATTTATTCTTAATTTCAATGAAAATTTACTGAGACTTTGGATTTCTATTCATTCATTGTTGCACTTTTCTCCCCTCCCAACCCTCCACTCTAGTACAATACCTTCTTGGAAATTTAAAAGAAAAATTCTTTCATTGTTTAAAAAACCCTCCCCAGGTCCACTCCACTATGCAGCCTTTGCTCTAGACTCCTGTGTGGGAAGAATGATGAATGTATCCGTTATCTCGACCGTGGTGGTCATTTTACAGTGTATATATTATCTCGACTGTGGTGGTCATTTTACAGGGTATGCATACGTCAAAACTGATCAAACTGTACCCTTTAAGGGTGTGTAATTGATCATGTGGTAATCATATCTCCACAGAACTGTTCCTAAAAATAATAATCATTTGGGTGAGGAGACTAGAACCTATTCAGGGGCTAAGAATGGTGGTAAAGAGTCTCCTTCTGGGGTCCAAACGTCTCAGTGCCCCAGGTCCCTCCCAGCCCCAGCCCCACGTGGCTAGTCATCATCACGGGCCTCAGACAGCAGCCTCATGGTGTTGAACCATGGTTTGAAGTTCTTTTGCTCTTGGCATTGGTCTTGGGTACTGCCGAGCTAAAACATTCATTTTTTATCAATACGCTTAGTCCTGGGGATGCCAGGCTGCCCCATGCCCCGTCAGAGTTCCAGAAAGAGGGCGTTGGCACTAACAGGTTTTTATAATCTTCTCTCCTGCAGCCTCTGTTCTGGAAAAATCCCCCTTGGACAGTGACCTCTGTTCTGTCCCAGGAAACGGCTCAGGGCTAGAAGTGGAGTGACATTCTGGCATTTGTGTAGAAGGAAGGAGGGACGTTGATGGGGTTTGGGTCCCCTAGGAGCTTACCCGCAAAGACTGCCAGAGAGGAAAAGGCCAAGGTCATGGTCCACAACACCCAGGCGACCATAGTAAGTCTTGATGTCTTGAAGGCTTCAGAAGTCACTGCCCTGGAATTCATGCCTGCAGGTGACAAGACACCATGACATGTCCCTAGAGGGCACTTATGGGAAAGAATCAGAGTTACCTGGAAGTGCGCATGAATTAACTCAGGGGACAGACTGTCACTAGAGGAAGCCAAGAGGCATAGACCAGACAAGCTCTCAGGTATCAGAGGATGGTCTGGTGGTGCAGAAAGGGCAGATCCTGGCCCAGGAAGGAGAACAAGGTAGGTGTGGAATGAGGAAGGAGATGGGGAGAAAAGAATAACAGAAACCTTGACTCCGGTCCTGCCCAGAGTAAGAGGCAGAGTATATTCTAAGGCTGCTGTTTCCCCACCCACTGACCTGGGATGTCTGGAATGGCAGGGGGGTGGAGTGCTTTTCTATCAAAAGGTCAGTCCTGGGGCTTCCCTCTATCCAGGCAGGTGTCCACTGTGGGTTTTGCCAGAGGTTTTGGAAATGTATCCAGAGACATCTCAACAGGAGAGAGCTCTGAGCCTGGTTGCCAAACTCAGGCTGTTGTTTTTCAGTACCGTTGGGTTGGAACCGTCCCGTAGCGGACCCTCCAGAGGGTTTGCAGAGACAGTGTATCACGTGGGAGGAGAGTGCTCATCTTTGGACCGAGGAGCAGCTGGTGGATTCGAACTGTGAGCCCACAGGTTGACAGCACAGCTCCTAACCACTAGGGCCCCAGAGCTTCCTGCCAAGTTCATGGACAGTGCTAGAATTCAACAGCAGCTCCATCGGAACTCAAAGTTCATCCCTTTCTCTTGCCAGCCCGCCATGCTCGAACTAAAGAACAACCACCTCACTGTTGTTGAGTGGAAAGCAACCCATAGCTGACCCTCCAGTGGGGTTTTGAGGGGCTGCAAAGAGCACAGGTGGAGGGAGACCACCCATCTTTCTGCCCTGCAGCTTCTTCCCTAGGAGATTTGAACGACAAGAGAGGCTTTGTCTTTGGGTCTCTATTGGCTGTGCCAACAAAGGAGACAGAAATCTGTGCAGGAAGATTTGCTGCAGGGACTGAGGGTTCCCGTCCTCTGTCTTTGCGTCTGAGCTCTGGAGGCCAGGAGTGCTATGAACAGAACCCGAGCCTCCCCAGAAGGGCTGAGAGGACAGGAGAGCTGGGCACAGGCCACACAGTGCCGTACTCACCTGTGGAACGCAGAACAACACCCTTGATCGTCTGTGCAGGAATAGACCTTGTCAACTATTGTCTCTTCTTTCTGTTAGGTCTGTAAATTGCCGCCCAAAAAACCACCAACTCAGGTATGCAATCAGCAAGAGTGCTTAATTCTGCAGAACAAACTCCAGCATGCAAAGGTCTACCATTCACTAGAAAATGGTGACCCGGGTGAAGGCACGCAGGCCTTTTTATAGGTTGACATGAGGCTGTTTGACCAGGGTGAGGTAACCGGGAATATGAGTGGTGGATGAGGTGAACCATTACATGGGTCGGTTTGTGATTGGCTTGTTCCTAGGCTTCCACAGGCCACATCCTCCTGTCACGTAGCTCACATACTCATGTCACGTACTCACCTTCTTGGGTCACATACACACACTCTTGTGATATGTACATCAATCTTCAAGATCAGTTACTCAAGCAATTCTAATCTTTAGAAGTCACAGACAGCTAACCTTGAGATAAGACCCTCCTGTACTTCTTTGGTTAACTTGTGGTTGCTTTCTTTCCTGATTGGCTGCCTCTTGGGAGAAGAATTTTTTATGGCCTATTCCTGGAATTGGATCCCCAGTCAACACTCTTGGCACCGGCTGCCAGGAAATGAAAAGACGTATTGCGATGGGAAAGTCTGTGGTTAGAGACCTCTCTAAAGTGCTGAAGTGCAAGAATGTCAGTCTGGAGACTAAGGTGCGCCTGATACAGGCCGTGGTCTTTGCAATCACTTGCTATGCATCAGAGAGCAGGACAATGACTAGGGATGATAGAAGGGGAATTGATGCCTTTGAGCTGTGGTGTTGGAGAAGAGCATTAAATATAACATGGACTGCTAGGAAAACACACAGGTTTATCCTGGAGAGGGTGAAGCCAGGCTGCTCCTTGGAGGCAAGGATTCTGATGCTCCATCTGACATACTTTGGACATGTTGCAAGGAGGGACCAGTCCTTGGAGAGAGACGTCATGCTTGGGAGGGTGGAGGGACAGCACAGGCAAGGAAGACCCTCAATGAGATAGACTGATTCAGTGACTGGGGTAATAATGCGGGCAGGTGTGGCGGAGATGGCGGGATTAGCACAGGATAGGGCAGAGTTCAGGGCTTTTGGACATAGGGTCGCTGTGAGTTGCAGGCGAATCAACGGCACATAACAACAACAACATTCCTGGAACTGATGACTGGGTTAGGCCCAGGTCAGGCTTAAGATGAAGCCTAAGCACAAAATTGAGTCTGTACAGTCTTCTCATTCCCCCCTTGGGTTTTGTACCATGTGCTGAATCATGGGCCCAAATGGGTGTCTGAACCCTGGGTGATAGGGGTGAGCTGTTCATATTGGGACTGTAAGACCATAAGTTGGGTTGTGGAGATGCGCTCTCACGCAAACTTGACAATGCATTCACTGTGCAGGGTCCATCGTGAGACAGCATTAAGGGTCCTATGAGTGCTGACACCAGTGTAGTCATCCAGGGAGACCAAGAAAATAATGACTCACACCAATTCTGATTTTGCTGTCTAATTTTAGCTCTTTCTTCTAGCCTTTTACGAACTATGGCTAGACTGTCTCTGATAATACCTGAGTTATTGGCATAAAATCAACATTGCTCTCTTAGGGCCTGGCAAAGCCCCCCTTGCTGCAGGAAGAGTAAGTCTAATTCTTTTCTATTCTGAAGTACTATTTCAGCTAGCGAGTTTCATGACTGCTCTAAGTGATGAATGGATTTTTCTAATTGAGCAAGGTCTGAATCTATAAGATTGCTTAAGACTTGAAGCGTCTGGTCTCTTATTAAAGCAGCCATACCAGTGCTGATTTTGCAGCAATGCCAGGTCCAACTAACACTGTAAGGAGGACTGCAGAGGCCCCGAAATCTCATTTTCCTCTGCGGTGATCTAAAGCTGTCTCCATACAGGAGCTGAAAGGGAGGTAATAAACTTGAGGAAATCGGGTAACTAAAACACACATTCTGGAATTTTGGAGAATTTGTCGATCGACGCAGGGGGTTAGAACCATGGTGCACGCAAAGCAAGTCCCATTAGGGGGTACTGTGGGAAACCTTTAATAAAGACACATCGAAAGCTTCATACAGCACAGGAAAATTATTAAGTAAAAGAGATAAGGAAATAGCCAGACGTTCGGACAAAAGGAAGTGTTTGCTGTTCTCAGTACAAAAACAGGTTTGACCATTCCTTGGACCCTAAGGCTAAATGAGGGTGTGAAAAACAAAATGTATTGTCTGCCTTGTGGTTGGGTTGTTTTTCTCTTCCCTGTAAAAGGAAGATAAAAAGACAGAAGAGAATAAAATCGGGGCTGCAGTATTCACTGTATGCCCTCCCGACTCTTTCTCTTGTCTCTGTCATTTTTCTTAATCCTCGCTCCCCCCTTTAGGGACTGTTCAACCGGTGATGGCAGGCTCCGTCAGGGTACAAGGTAAGAATTGCTGGCATTTGGTATAGTGATATGATTGCAGAGATGGTTGAGGTGGGGGAAGCTACTTAATATTCCCCTTTCCCTATTACACGTAGTCCTTTTGCGGTTATGGCTTGAAGGGTAATGACCGGAGACTTCCCCCAGGAGCACCCTGGAGGGCTTCGGGAAAGACTTAATAGATCTCCTGTAGTAGCCCAGCCGGTATAGTATGGGGGGGGTCTGGGGTCTAGGCAGAGCCAACAGTCTTCTTTAGTAAGGTTAGTGGTAGAATGGATGAAATTAAAAGTGTAGTTAAGTATTTTGAACAAAATGGATGTGTCAGAGACGCCAGGAGGAGGAGTGACAATTGGGGGCAGAACTGTTTATAAGGAGAGGGATGCCTGAGACTGAGGTTGATGTTGTAGTTCTGAGGGCAGGTACCGCTGGCGCAGCTGGGCCTATGGCTACAGGGTGAGGCCTGGCTGGAACAACTTGTCCCTGGATTTTAAAAAAGAACCTTTATCATACCTGCACATGTATAACCTTAGGCCCCAGATCTTTCCAGCTTTCCAACCTATGCCTGCTTGTCCTTTTTTGTTAATGAGATAAAGATGGGGTTCCTTTTCCCTGATGATGTCTGGTTTTGTGGTTCTGCTATTTTGAATAAAATCTTGGTTACTGTGCACCCAAGGAGCGCACATGGGCTTCTTCCTTGAGTGCCTTCTCCCGCCCAGGTTCCCCTTTGGCAGTAGTTACAGTCAAAATTGCTCCTGTAGCAGCGAGAAAGGGCTTAAACCATGAAGCTGGCTCCTCTACCAGGACCTGCCAGGTAATCATATGCGTGATCTGCTCTGGACGGCCTGGTTTTTTAAAAATAATATCCTTGACTCTGTGGATGGTGGGCAGGTGGAAAGTGCCTCCCTTCAGGCTACCGACGTTGAAGATGGGCCACTCATTCCCGCAAAAATTTTCTTTTTCATGTGTAGCTCTTGACCAGCTGCCACATTGTGAACTTCTCTGAAATAATCTAAAATGAGACCTAGAGGTGTTGACTTGGTCTGACCTAAGAACGAAGACAAACAGACTCACACAAAGTAAAACAAAAGGCACAAAACGTACTGGTATGGCCCGTGAAAAAGAAACAGAAGACGAAACGACGGCCTGTCCCGCAAGTGGGCTCCGTTAGGCAGGAGCGACCTGGCACGTTCCTCCAACCAGAAATCTACCAGGAGGACTGAGTCCCCTCCAGAGAGGCACAAGATGTCTCTCTTCTCCCTTGGTGTGGGGTCCACTAGCGCATCCGCCTGGACCTCTTGGGCCCCAGATTGTTTCAAATCGTCAGGTACTAAAACAGAGACACCAAGAT